AGTTAAGGTGTGCTAATTTTTTTTTTTTTAACTAGAATTTTTAGTCTTGGAATGAGGAGCTTACCAGTGTCCTTAAAATTGCACTAGAATCACAGCAGGGATTACTATCTGTAGCTTGCATATCCTCAATGACTTCCTTGATCAGCAGTATAGAGGAAGGAGTCTTTTTTACCAAACAGTATTTAATTGCTTACTCATATTTGGACAGAGTATCTCCTTAAGAGCAAGTACTACTGTCTTACAATTGCCTTTGGAGCTGCTTCTCTGAATTTCGTCTGTCATATTGTATATCATGTCCAATATTTTACAATTGTCCCCAGAAATATTTGTTGATAATCCTTTGTCACTGTTGATAGCCTTGGGAATGCATAATATTGCATCTAACCCTGATACAAAGCAGACTTTAGAGGTGAGTCTGATATCCTAAATGAGTTCTCAAGTCACTTAGCTTTGCAGCTTATACAGTTTCTCATAAAAGACAATTTTGAGAAGACTCCGTTTTATTCCCCACAGAAAAGAAAGAAAGAAAGAAAGATTGTCACTAGAATATTTCTGGATAAGAAATCTGAAGTGCAGATTAAAGGTGTTTGATAGCTCTAGAGACTATGACACTTAGCAGTGCTAGGAATTCTCTGCACCGTTTTATTGACATATGACCCGCATGAAGCCTACATAGCCACTGCAATTTTTTTTGTCAATTGGATAGAAAATAGCAGTAGTAGGAAAGCTAAAAGCTAATCCTTCATTAATCAGCATTGAATCAAAATTATCAAAGCGGCAGCATTTTATAGGCAAGTGGTTGTATTACTCAAATGTCATTCATTTTATGTGTAACATTTCCATTTGTTTGAATTTTCATCAGTGAAAAATGAGAGTAAAAAGACAGTACTTCTTTACCTATTTCTAGTAGATCTTATTTTTTGAATAGCTGTTCTCCAGAGTACACTCTTTTCAAATTATTGCTTAATATTTGGTTTTTTTTACCGTTTGGTAGCTACTCTCAGTTGTCAGGTAATGCTTCTTATATATTTTTGCAAAAGAGGATACAGTTAGCTGAGAACTCTGTGTTTAAAGATTCTTCCTGAGGTATGTTACACTGAATTTAGTGTACCATTTAGTCACCTGGGTTTATAACATTTCTCTAGACTTCCTAACAAAGTACTCTACACTTGTATCACAAGAAAATTCTGCCACTTAGTTAACTGTCAGTCATTAGTAAGCATACTAAGAAGTACTAAATGTTTTCCTAGAAAAAAAGAATCTTAGATTACGCATTTTAAAATTAGTTTCAAGATACCTATTATCTGTTTATTCTGTTTTTCACCTAATTTGACAGTAAACCAATACTGGAGGTCTGTCCAAATGTTCTGCTATAGAGCTTCCTTCCCTGAGTGCATTCTTAATTGTAACAGGTTTTTATTTTATGACTAGCAAACTTTCATACTACTTTTCTCAGAAACACCACATAAAAAACTTCTAAAAATCTCAACTATTTTATTTTTCATTATCTTACTAATTATTTGTCAGAAATCTGTTTGTGGCAGCAAATTAACACACGAGCTGCTTTTCTGACCTAATTTTACAATTCCCTTAATTTTTCTCACCTAGGATTTTTTCTAGGTTCTCACTTCTCTGTAGTTTACAAGATGATCTTTGGAGACCTATTATGGCCAACTCTACATATTTTAGTTATTTTCTGTGCAAATAAATGGTACAACTTTGTTATCTTAACTGTCCCAATTTTCATTTCCTTTAGAGCACTTTTTCTTAGAGTAATTTGTTCTGGTGCTTTCCAGTACTTTTCTTCTTTCTCTCTCTCTCTTTTTTTTGTCACAGATTACAGGTGGAGAAACAGAAAATGTTAAACATGAACTAAAAGGTGTGTCTTTCCTAGTCTCTCTTATACAAGGAAATCAAGCTGTATCTTTTGCTTTTATACTATTAGTCTAATTAACTAGCCTCTGCCAAAGATCATCACCTAGGTGAAGGAAGTTCTTCTTCTATCACAATTATTAATTTTTTTCCATTCATTCTTTAAATTTCCTCTCAAACATCAGAATGTTGTTCTACCATAAATGTTTATGGGAAACTCCTACTTACTTTGCCAGTGAAACAATGGCAGGATATAACCCTTACTCTGGTGTTCAGAATTTATATTCCATTCTATTAGTGTCGCTTGAGTTGGATTTCCATTTTATTATAGGATTATTATTTTTAGGGGGCCTGAACATTCCCTTGTACCTTGCTATATTTCTCACCTTCTTGATTCCTAATTGTTCCACTATATACATACTTTCTCTGAGTCTAATAAGGTACTTTTAAACAACTTCCATGCTGCTTCTACGGATTTTAATTTCCTAACTTTCCCCTTCAGGCTATTTCTAACTTCCTCAATATAAAAATCTTCCTTTTTTGAAAAGTACTGTAATATTATTACCTCATGGTAGGATCCCACGGGAGGATGTTGAAGTTAATTATATTATAGTCATTTCTATTTAGTGGCTCAACCACATTAACTTCCTGAACAACTCATATATTTTACCGAAGGCCTGCTTCGAGACTGGATTCCCCCTTTTGGTGTTCCAGAATTTTTATAACAAATGATTGTCTTTGGTGTCTACACTTTATTCCAGTACTATACTGAGAAGGCTTAAAAATATGTGCCTACAATATACATGAAAAAGTCGCCACGAAATATTTGTTTATTCAGAGCACTTATAAGAGTGCATAAAGTCAAAAGGGCTTAATTGTCACTGAAACCACACGTAGTTTTGTAAATTCAGAATTTGCTCTGTGTGCATTAATCAGTAGGTCAGTTACCCACCCAACTCTGGGTGCTGAAATTCAGGTTTGTACAGTGTGAATGGTTACAGTTTAAATAGCCTGTGATTATTTAAAATCAGCACATGCACGTTACTGATTCTCCTATGGTTTGAGAGCCTAAGTCCATTGACAAAGCAGTTGGTTCATTATATGATTAATTTTTTCCTGTGTAAACCTGAATACAAATTAATGATATCAAGATATGTAATAAATAGAAATTGAGATACAGTACAACTGAAAGCATATTACAGTGTCCAACAATGCCTCTCAAGTAATCAGTTGTTGTTAGGCTAAGATTCAACTGTAAACAAGCCTTGTTAATGAACTATATAGTAACTTTAAAAAGCAGATTGAAACAGGGTTTGTCTTTGAACTAGATCCTCTGCTTCTCTGAACTTATAAACATGACTTTGAAAGAATGTACATTGTTTTTCCTGATTAGAATTCCTTTTTTTTTTTTTTTCTCCATTACTCATTTATTTCAATCCCAATTTTAAAATCTCACTCATTAGAAAAGCATTCTCTGTAACAGAAGTTGAAACAAATACGGATGTGTATTCTCATTCAGCAGAGTGCGAGACAACTATTACTATCACATGTTACACAAACACTAATATTTATCTGTACTAGGCTAAATTTTGTTATTGTTTTAAATCAAAATGTGATTGCTCTTAAACTTCTACCAAGGGAGAAATGTTTACTTCATTAATTTTATATTTGTGGTTCATGTTTCCAAAGAAACCTAAAAGTAATTTCTGAAATGGTGTGTCTTGCAATCATGGTTAACTTAAATTTTTGCAGTTTCCAGAATTGTTTCACTTTTATAAAGCAGTGAAAGTATTCCACTCTTTCCATTTTTCTAGTACTATAAGAAGCAAGAAAGCAGGAATTTGTTTAGCTCATTGCCTCCATTTATCCTGAGCCAAGACCATGATCTTGGAAACCCTTTAACTTGGCTGAATCCAGTACAAAGTTCTTTTGTAAAAGCCAGTGCAATTAGAACAACACAGTGTATGTTCTGTTTCAAAATTAAGACGATAAAGTTTCAAACAGCTAGAACTGAAACACAGTATCGCAGACTTGGACCTTTAATGTGTTAAACACAGACTCTAATTCCACCAGTTTCTGATCAAATGAAGAACAGTCTAGTTGTGAACAATGTTAAGAAAGCACTATTCTAATTTTTGCAAATGAATAAAGAAAATGAGGAAACATAATGGAAAGTGTAAGTTTTGTACAGCCCAGCTTTAGTAGCTTCTCTAAACACTGTAGACAGAGTGATACTGTTAGATAAGCAATACCTTCTGCACTTTATTTTATCACTGTTTACTGGTATATATACATTTGCTAATCAATTAGTACATGATTAGCGACTGTTTTGAAACCTGGTGCTTCTCTTTGGTGCTGTTTTTTTGTTTTTTTCTCCAAAACCTCCCCTTTATTAAATATCTAGTAGATTGTGAACCTATCGTAAATCAAATGTTCTCTTTATTTTGTATGAAAACATGTGTAATCAATATTTTGATGAATTATAGGACCTAAAAAAATCAAAGAAATCAAATCCAAAAAAGGATTCCAGTGAACCGTGTTTCATTTCACCTCCTAAATTGTTCACTGATTGTTAAAGGTACTTTTTGTCCTACTGAATAAAGGAATTCTCAAATCCTACTAAAAGATAAGTTTTTATCTTTTAACAGCACTAGCACTGATAGAAGAATAGCACTTTCTTTCATGGATTTTTTAAAGCTATTCATATAAAGGGATTTGAAAAGCTACTAGTTAGTAAGTAGCTAATTAAGTCCATTTCCTTTAGTTGTTTGCTTCTTTTTCACTTAGAATACTCGTTCTTGGAAGCTGAAATGTTTATGCAGATACAATGCATATACTTTTTAGACAAAATAGTCTTATTTGATTTACATTTAACTATTCTCCTTTTCTTCTTTCAACTGTGCAACATGTATTTAGTATACTATTTCAAAGTGAAATTATCAAAATATCTATATAATTTAAAAAGAGATTATCTCCCTATAAGAAATGCAAAATATTGTAAGTAGCAAAGCACTGACTTATTAAACTAGTAGCAAACCCACACTTTTGAATATTTCTGTTTCAAGAACTTAATTTACTGCTAAATTAACTGATTGCTTTTTTTTTTTTTTTTTTTTTTTAACTTTCAGAAATACAGGGGCTTAGCTGTGGCTTTCCAAGCCCCACTGACCTTTGGGGAAACAAGGATACTGGCTGTGGATTTGATTTACCCGAGTGAGGAGGGTGAGGGGGTGAAAACTGGCAGACACTAGTTTTTCTAGGCTGTTCCCTAACACTTGCTACCTTTGGATTTGTCTGTTGCTTCAGACTTTTGAAATAACATTTGGATCTGCACTGTATGTGTAGGGCTTTATAGTGATTCAGTGACCTACAAGCAACTGTAGGGGCAGACTTGTATGGCTTGTTATCTTACTGATTTATTTATACATACACACACATGTTTTTTAAATGACACCATTGGCTTCTTGCTCTTTCCCTCAAAAAGTCACTGTCCTGTCATAGCCTGCAAGACAGCTATAGGGGAGGAAATTATCTGTAATGTAAGCTGCCAACATTTTGCATTTCCTTTCTTTTCATCTGAAATTCTATTTGGTTAGACCTTAAAGCATTCAAGATTTTGCTGCATTCATTAGTATACCTAAACAATGACTTGATAAACGGACTCAATAATGCTTAGTTACATCTTCAGCTAGGCTCCTATGATGTGTGCAATACTATTTGCATTTATAATACACAATTAAGCATTCAAATTGTAAAGGAAAGGCATTCATTTTCTTCACAGAAGAACTTGAAATTATTACCTTAAAGGTGCTAACTTCCTTCTAACATGACTCCTCATGAAAGATGATAACAATTCCAAAAATAATGGGTACTTCTAGTTTAAGTAAGTACTACTTTTCTTATGTAGTTTGATATAAAAAAAAAAAAGAAAAAAGTCGCTTCTCCTTCACTCTACCAAAGTGACTCAAGTCCATTAATCTCTTAGCTCTTCTGGTATGCTGTCTCTGAGCTGTTACAATCATTGAGAGTCTAACTTGTAGAAATTCACAAATTTTGTACAGATGTCAAAATTCAAAAGTCTTTAGTGAATTACTCCCTCTTTCATATTTTCTCAGGGTATTCAGTTAGCACAGAAGTAATGAATATTACATAAATTAATGTTGTTGCAATTCAGCTGTAGGGGTTGAGATTCAATGCCAGTGAGATAGATCAAGGTTTTAAAAAATATCTGCTGTAAATTGAAAACAAGTGGTTGAAAGTATTTTGCAGATCTCTCTCCCACAGATTGTATATTCCATTTTCCAAACTAAATCTAAGAGAGAATATTACTTTATTGAGATTTATGGAATAATTTCTTTTAAAATTCCAGCAATATGAGAATGCACTGACAATGACCAAAAATAAGTGTCAGCTACTAAGTGGTTTCATCTTTTGAAGGGTTTTTTCTCAGTAATGGGAAAAAAGTTCTGACAGTTTTTTAAAACAAGAATTATATGCAAACTTAAATTAGGGACAGATCATTTTGTCCAATTTTAACTGGCTTACCAGTGATAAAATGGGATAAAATGGGTGGAAAACACGATAATATAGCAGTCATCCATCAGAGGAAGTGTTCCTCCCTCAATTCAACATGCTGATCCTGTCTAAAGAATAGGACTTAAGAGCTTGTGAGAAAATGGGTGTAAGAAGTTATAAAAGAAAATTGTTCTGTGGCATTTGGGGGAAGTACATGTAGACACAGCAGTAGGTCTGTATTAAATACAAAAGTGTGTGTGTTTTTCAATTCTGAATCTTTTTTAAGACAAATAAATTACCTGTTTTCTGTATGGCATGGTACATGGGATATAACACCAGAAGGACTCATATAGCAATGATGGACGTGAAGGTATAAAACTCCCAAAGACAGCAGGTAATGCTTTTGTGTTCTTTTATGTGCTCCCTGGACTATGTGTTCACTGAAGTATTCTAGGACCTCGTTACAGAATTTGGGGTGTCCAAGAGCTTAAAGGGATGATGACTCATGGAACCTTACTGGACTGTTAAGCCTCCTCCCATTAAAGAAAAACATGTGGTTGAAACTGTGTTGGCTAAAAACCATGGAATTTTCTGCGTAACGTTATTCCTTCTTTGCCATTTTGTGTTGGATATCATGATCTGCCTGTTATATTCCAGCAAACGCAATAATTTCATTTTAATTAGATAATTACCATGTTTTTCATTGGTTTTGATCACTTCTAAATTCAGCTTTCGGTTTTAACAAAAGCAGTTTCAGAAGATGATGGATTTTTACATTTTTAAAACCGCTAAATGTTCAGAAAGGATTTGTACACATAACAAAATTAAAGTAGGGATTATCTAGCACTGTGTGTGGGATACAGCTACAATCTATACAGTGCATGGAAAAGAAACTGGCACTCGCAGTTGCACTACACACATCTCAGTAATAACAGGGTATAAGGCATACAATTTCATGGAACACCCACAATGAAAATTATTCTTTCCAAACAGCAAATTGTTTTGGAATAAGTTAGGTTAATTGGCACCATGGGATTCCTCTCAAGGAAGCACAGAACATTAAAATTTACACATGTGCATGTAAAATGATAAAGTATTATCTTCTTTCCCCTCTCAGCTCCTCAAATCTAAGACATGCTACCCAAAATCAACAGAAATGATCATGTTTTGTTGACTCAAATTTCCTTAGAATAAACTGGCAATTCTTCATCTGGTCAGCTTACAACCTGAGAGTCACTGCACTGTTCTACAATTTCTAGCTTAAGTATGGTTATCTAGTTCAGTCTCTCACACAAAAATAGATATCTGTCTCTGGAGCATTTGGCACATGCTTTTTGGAATTGTAAAAATCCTTATTTTCTATGCAGGCAACATAGCTAGAAGGCAATAAGATACAGCCACTTTCAAAGGACTGTTGTGCACCCTTCAGGATTATAACCCAAATCGGCAAATGGTTAATGGGAAATCCAGGCAGGCAAACTTCGCTGTCATTATACAGTCCTCAATTAAGACACTGATTGTATTTTACACTTCTGAATGCAGCTGAAATATATAAAAAGTCCTCATAAAAATATTATCACCTTCTCAAAAATCATAATTATAAAAATCCTTTAAAGAAAAAAGTTTTCATTTTAATGGAAAGGATTGAATTATCATGCCAACTGCTAAGTGTTTGCTGCGTGCATTAGGTCTCTTTCATTAATGCTAAGGTCATCACATACATATGTGTTAGTTTGTCTTAAAATGTTCCATACTTTCTAATTTGGCCATATGCACACCTTTACCATTATTTATTCCCTAGTTTTCTGCCTAAATTATGGCAACACATTTAAAACAAATTAATTGTGATTCCTACTGGGCAGGTCGCAGATGGCCACGCAGATGAGATGTGATCACAGAGATGATGTTTGTTGTGCTTCAAGTAGGACTGCATCCTTTCTGACCTCTTGAGTGAGTGAGAACTCTGTAATGTCCTAAGACCCCACATGACTTCACATTTACATGTCCTGTGCTGAAGAACAACCTTCACTGCTTCCCAACATGCAGTCTCCCAGTGGAGAACTGAAGTTCTCCCATATTGATTGCCATGTCATTTTTTGCCCAGTATCAGAAGATAAGCAGCAACATGCACAAAATGGCATTTCAGTTTCTCACAAAAGACATTCCAGAATCTCACCTTACAGACATCACAGACATTACTCTGAAAGAGGAGTTCCAAGAAATCAAAAAATATCCCAGAACTTACAATTTTTATATGCCAGTAATGTTATTTCCCTTACCACTCTGCCACTCACACATCTTAAACAGACTTACTATTTAATCATTCTTTGATAGGAGTACAGGAAAAAGACAGCAAGTATTTACACTTAGCATAGGTAGAATTGTAGACTGAAATGAAAATCAAATCTTGCACTGCTGATAACAGGATATGTGTTGCATTTACATTCTATACTCAAATATAATTATTCTAAAGAACTATCTATATTTCTTGTAAGCAGGTATTAGCTTGGTCTGGTAGAAGAAAAGATTTAATTTCTAGAATTTTCATAGACAGAGTCTATGAATAACTCAGAAGAGTTGTAGGCCCACTAGCTTGAAGATGGAAGAAATTTAGATAAGATTTCCCAACCCTCCTTCCAGTCCTAGATCCTTTCCACTCCATGCATCAGAATAATCCCATTTGAGAGTAACTGATCACAAATTTAGTAGCCATGATAAACTCAGCTCTCTAGGGAGCTGATGGCAGAAGATAATTTTGCCAGGAGCATAAACTATTGCTTACTGGAGCACAACCCAGCTTGTTCTGTGATATCAAGGCAAAGAGGAAGGTGAAGAAAGGTTATTAATTTCACCCTAATCCGCATAAGAATTCAGAAGAAAATAAATTCATTGAAATTACTGGGTTTACAAGGGATAATCAGTATGAATTGTCTGTCTTTTGTCAGTAACATAAATCCTGTTAGTACCAGTGGAAAATGTATATATTAAATGAATCAACATAATGACTACAATGTTCATACTGACTATTGAGGAGTTTGTAGGAGATTTTATGATGATAAAATTGAGGGTAGAATTCAGCAAACAATAAAATCAATCTTATTCTATTCACATGTTAAAATTTAAAAAGATTTTATCAGTGTTTTATTGTAGTTTTCTGGAACAGCACTCCTCACAGCAGAGGCTCTACAACCTGTTATAAGCTCCATGAAACATGTGTCAGTGCTGGAGGTAGTGGCATTTTTTTTTTCTGTGTTTTGATTTGAATTTTATACTGAATGATCTGATTCATATGTAATTATGCAATTAAAAGTTATGCTGCAGTGCAAACACAGTTGAAGGCACAGTAAAAGTTTCACTACTAATCCTGCATTCTTGCAAAAAGCTGCCTATGGTGAGACGGTGCTCATTTTAACTTGAGAAGCTTTGGAATGATTGACTTGTAGCATCATAGCTAGCATATATTTAATACCTGATGGTCTACTCTCAAAGCTGTATACTGACTGTGAAAATTGTTATGGGTGGAAAATGGGTTTACTGCATATGTTCCACATCACTCTTCATTGCATCACCTTGAAAACCTTTTCCTGTAGTCCCACTCATAGACGATTCCTGTCTGAATCATTGGATCACCCATGAATAAGACTTTGCAGGACTGCAAGCACTTGTGATCTGATATAAAAATCAAACAACATACACTAAGGAATATACCTTATAATTCCTCTTAAGACTATTCCTCAAAAACTTAGTGTGCATACACTTAAAATAATGGTTGTTGATATTTATATATTTTTTCAGCGTAAACAAAATTGAATGCTAATATATTTACAAGGAATTATATAGTAATATAGCATTTTAAAAAACTTTGAGAATTAAAAGAAAAACAACATAAAGTTAGTTTTCCTGATTAACCTGGAAGTAAGATGAAATAAAAGGTTAATGTGGCCTAGAAGTTAGGGAAATCTCTGTTAAAATTTAAGTGTTTGTGACAATGAAAACCATAGACTGAGAGTAGAAAGTAGAGAAGAGAAGAAGGTGAGTGAAGTCAAGGAGTCAAGTATTCTTAGCAGTGGTCTTCAGTACTATTTCATTGTGATTTTCTGCCCCTTTATCGCTTTTCTTCCTCTGTTGTGCCCTTTCCTTCCTATACGGCTTTGTCCTTTATCACAGTATGTCCATGAGAATTTCTGCTTATCAAAAGAAAGAAGAAAAGATCCCTACACAAGTAAAAGTGGTATTTTCTTAAAGGCAGTTTTAAGTTTTCACCCCATTTTGCAAGGGTTCCCACTCTAGGCGCTGTATGAAGCAAAGTGGCAAAGTCCGACTGATTGCAGCTGTTCTTACTAGCTACGCAATCTGTGAACCCACAGACAAATGCCAGAACAATACAACATCTATGGCCACAGACAACAAAAGCAACAATGAGCTTAAAGTTACTTAAGGATCAGAAATAACAAGCAACTGAAAAAGGAACCCAACTACTATTCCGCTCTTTGAGATCTAATTCAGTCAGTAGATTTACAAATAGAGTAGTTGATAATAGGGACTTGATCCTACCATTGGTGGTCGTGAGATGTCAGTTTGGCTCTTGTGCACAGTTCTGAGGCCTTTCATTTTAAAAGAATGTTAAAAAGGGGAATGATTGTAGGGAAGGACCACAAATATGCTTTAATGACTGGAGGAAGTTTTCTACAATTGCAGCTCTAGAGGTACTTTGCTTTTCAGAAAGTATTTTGATAGGCGATTATTGCATGTACCTCCTAAGAGAAGAGGTAGGCTCTTCCTTTTTTGTTGCCAAATCACACTTGGATGCCTTCCTAACAATATAATTTAGACAACAGATTCAGATACATGAGGGCTAAGTTTTGTTGATAACCAGTTATAAGGTGTCCTTAAGCTCCACTGAAATCAAAGTACTAACTAGCTCAGTAGCTTCTCACGGAAGCTTTACACCTCTCTTCTCCTTGTTAATAGTTTAAAATATAAAGAAAACAGCAACAGTGATGGTCAGTTCAAAAGAAAAAGCAGGTAGTAATGATTTCATATTAAAATTGTCTTTGTTACACAATTTTGAAAGAACAACTGTAGTATGTTGCTCTATAACTAACAACTGTCTTCACCACAGTGTAATGGAGAAGTAAATTCAACAGATCAAGGAAGCATACTTGTAGGGGATGGGCTCTTATTCTTGTAAATGTTCATTCAATTTTTCTACATATATGCTACACATTCAGGCTAGCCTTTAATATCAGTGGACACAGGTGATGGAATTGGACAGTATTTTCCAGGGTACATATTCCAAGATTTTTGAGCCCAGAGGCATGTCCTAGATTCAAGTTACAGGTGCATGCCCCTCTTATGTACTTACTCGATTTTGGGGTAGGAATGAGGTAAACAGCTCCCTCCTTTTCACCACATTCTTGAGACAGGGAAGAAAAGGTGAAGGGTGACAGGAGGGATCTGGCCAAGTGTCCAGTGCATCTACACATACTGCACCAAGGGCGGTATCGAGTATATGCCTAATTAGCAATGTCTAGATTAAGTCTCCATGTCTTCCAACAACTAAGCTGAAAAATAGATCCAGAAGACATTCCTGCTAACTGTGCTTTCAAGAAGGATTACCAACTAGGAGATGTGCAGAGAAAAATTGTTTGTTAAGCTATTCAGAGCGTTTTTTTTTGTT